GCTTCTGACCAGCCAGTCATCCAAGAAACAAGCCATCCGTTTAGTACTGGTAGTGGTAATTGTTTTTGTGTGCTGCTGGCTCCCGTACAACATTGCATCATTCTTCAAAGCACTGGAGCTACTGGGTATCTACACAGACTGTGAAAAGAGCAAAGCCATCATTCTGACTTTACAAATTACTGAGGCCATCAGCTATTCCCACAGCTCCATCTACCCCATCCTGTATGTGTTTGTTGGGAAGAAGTTCAGAAAACACCTGCTGAGGTTGATAAACAGAGCTCCCTGCAGACTGTGTCAGATGATCAAGGTCTACATACCTCAGGACAGAAGCAGGGTGCCAACCTACTCCCAAACCAGCACAGTGGATGAGCGGAACACTGCTGTATAGTCTGGGGGTACGTCATCTCCACAACGAGGGGATGTCTAGTGTTAGATATTTTTAGTCAGATAGATATTGGATAGATACTTTATGTACTAGAAATGTTTAGTGGAGATAGGATGTCTAGTTAGACTGTGTTGAGTAAAATTGTTAACAAAGTAATACATTAGGATTAGTTTTAATATTAGACTGAATTAAGAATTTAGTTAGTAGAAGATTGACACTATGTTTGTTGATTAGTTAACTTGTTTGTTTACTGTGTGGGCATATGATTATTCTATCATATTAAGAAAATGAATAATTAGGATTTAGTTTAGAGCATGCATAAGTTTGCTTACTTGTATGTTACAATTATGTTAACATAGTTAGTTGAGTATCTCATTCTATGTGGTCATTGAATGCTTGGCCAGTATTAACTGTGTTAGCCAACTGGGGTACTGTTTAACATCAAGGCAGACTGATTCACTGAAACACTGAAAACTCATTAGATTTACAGCCTAGCAAAGAGGGTCCACAGTTGTTTTATGACCGCCACCTGGCTGATGGGACGGGGGACCTGAAGTTTATTGGGGTTTCTAGGATAGTTGAAACAGAGATTAGATCTGAGGCCAGGAAGAGAAAAGACAACTTCAAAAGACAGGGCCATATACAGACACACACAGGCAAGATAGTTTAAGTAGCCAAATGGAAAGCCATGTTTTATAGAGTGTAGTTAGTTAGTTGGAAACAAAGA